CATCTCCTACCGACCAACCTCATCCCACCCCCTTGACCTGTCCGTCCTCCCTGGACTGACCTATCCCCTTCCTAACTCCCTACCTACACTCACCTTTCCTGGCCCCATCCCCGCCTCTTCGACCTGTTTGTTTCCTCTCCACCTATCCTCTCCTCTATCCCTCTTCTATCCGCCTCCCACTCTCTCCCTATTTATTTCAAAACCCCCTTCCCCTCCCCCTTTTCTGATGAAGGGTCTAGGCCCGAAACGTCAGCCTCTCTGCTCCTATGATGCTGCTTGGCCTGCTGTGTTCATCCAGCCCTGCACCTTGTTGTCTCCATTCTAGAAGCGGTATTCAATGAATGTCTGTACAGGATAATAATAGGGTGTCATCTTACACAAACATTAAAACAACTATGGAAATAATAGCTTAAACTAACTGCACGCTGAAAGAAGGGTAAATGACCTTTCCAGCCCTTAGGCAATTTCTCTTATGACAAAGTTTTGTGTAACTATATAATTTGTTTTCAAACTTAGAATTTTTCTTTGTTTATTTTGCTTTATCATAGTCTCTAAGAAGTACCTAAAGCTATGTTTTGCCTTCATTCTCCTTTAGAATTAAACTGCTGTATTGAAGTGGACAATGTCTGCTTCATGAAATGCATTTGTATGCGTAGTGTCATCATGTGATATCGTCCTCTTTCATCAGTGTCTCTATGTGAATTCTGTGGGAGCCATTAAACACACATCACTTGAAACATGGTGCTAGAGTGGTGCAGCCGAAATGTATGGATTTTCAGAGCTGTAATAATATCAGCTACTGAAAGAAATAGGTCTGGCAGCATCAACCCAGCTCTGAAGAAGAGTCGTCCTAGATTTGAAATTTTAACTCTGCTTCCCTCTTCTAGTTACTACCAGACCTGCTGAGTTTCTTTGGCACTTTGTTTCTATTTGCAGCATCCACAGTGTATAAGTTTGTTGGACTTGTGAACTATTTAGCATTGTTCTTGCCTAATTTGTTAATAGAGAATGAACTTCTACGCATGCTCACTGCTCACAATATGAAGTGGTATCGGGACACAGAACAAGAGCAGCTTTCACTAGAGTTATATGTGTTGTCAGTATTGAGGTACTACAATGTCACTGATGAAATCACCCTGCAGTGTGATGTCAGTAAGGCAGGACTTGGAGCAACTCCTCAGCAGCATGGACAACTAGTTGCATATGCGTCCAGGGCGTTAACACAAACTCAATCCTTCTACATTCAGGGATAAAGTGCCTCCATTTCTACTTCAGCCCAATAGCTGCTGAAATGCTTAGTCATGCCCTTGCTATTTCCAGATTCAGTGATGTCAAAGCTTTACTAGACACTCTGTCCTACTTTCTGCAATCTTCTGCACATCTATAATTTTCCAAATAAAAATTGAATAACATTGACTTCTGGTCTCCCAATGCTTTCCATCTAAAATTCTCTCTTGTATTTGTAAACACACCATGCCTTTATTCAGAAGATCAAAAAGGGTTACCACAGGCTCACTAAAAAAAAAATCATAATAAGTAGTACCCTATGAGGGGCATAACATGGGAGTTATATGGGATGATCATAGACATAGAAGTCTATGGCACAGAAGAAAGGCCCTTCAGCCAATCGAGTCTGTATCAATCAAAAACAACCATCTAACTATTCTAATCATATTTTCCAGCATTTGGCCCATGGCCTTGTATGTCTTGGCATCACGTGTACATCTAAATTCTTCTTCAATGTTATGAGGGTTTCTGCTTCTACCACTTTACGGGCAGTTAGTTCCAGATTCCCACCACTCTCTGGGTGAAAAAAATCCTCACATCCCTTCTATGGTCCACTCAAACTGTAAGGTGCCAAAATCATCAAAAAATACTAAGAAATCAAGAAGTAGTCTTACTATCCAAATTAGATTTTTTTTATTATTGGCCACAACAGGACACTCAATAACCTGTATTGCTCATCTGTCACAAAAAAATCATTGAATGAACTTACATGCAGTGCAATTTTACTTTTCAGTGCCACCCAGGAACAGACAAGCCCAAGAAATTGTGTTATGTCTCATGGTCAGTATGTCAGTGTACTGTTCACAGTCATTCTCATGATAGGATCTCTGAAACATAGCATGTGACCTGACAGTATAAAGGTCTGATATTCCATCTTAAATGGGAACCTACTGAAGCATAATACACTGCTGGGAGTGTATTCCTTAATGCGCTCTGTTGTAATCTATTGATTTAATATTAGCCCAGACACTAGGTATCTGAGAAATGTAATGTTTGTATATAAAAGTGAGCTGTAATTCTTCAATACCGTGTATCCAGTTCCTTAGGTTACAATGAAGGTAATTCTCAAAGGCAATTAGGAATGGGTATCAAATGCTGGCTTTGCCAGTGACACATCCCATGAAAAAAAAGGTCCTGCATTCACTTAGCTTCAAGTCATCCCTTAATTGGATCAGAATTCGTTTTACATTTCATCTCAGTGAAACATGTTAAACTAAGGTGTTTGCTCTATTGGGCTAGATGACTAAAGTTGCGGAACAGAATAAAGCCAGCAGCAAAGGTTTAATAAAAACCGAAAGAACTGCGGATGCTGTAAATCAGGAACAAAAACAGATGTTGCTGGAAAAGCTCAGCAGGTCTGGCAGCATCTGTTAAAAAAAACAGTTAACGTTTTGGGACCGGCAACCATTCCTCAGAACTGGACGGGTTAATGCCTGTTTGTGATAGTTTGTGGCATCTTGCCTCTTCACCTGCTTGGAATGGTTACCCTCACGCTATATGTAACCAATTCTCTTACTCTCTATAATGGAAATAGATACGTACGGTCCTTTGTAAACGATGGCTCCTTACATTATGTTGTAACTAGTACGCAAGTTGTAGCAGCAGGGATTGGATAATTTAAACAAAATGACTTGAATGGATGATGATATATGATTCTTAATTTAATTTCTAAGCTGTTACTACAATGATCTAAAACCCTGTATTAGTAGTGCTTGTAAGTAGTGCATTTTCTTAAGCTTCCATGGCACATGTTACAAAGATTAAAAGTAAGAAATTTACTTGCAAAGGAAATCCCTATAATAAAATACACAAAAATATAATTCATACATTTAAGTTAAACTCGGAAGAAGAGTTGTTTTCTCTGTGTTGGTAATATCATCCCCGCAGCGCGAGTTTCGAAACTATAGACGCCGGCAATCAGTTTGTTTCATTTCGCGGCCCGTAGGACGATTTGCGCATGCGGCCTGGGAGGAGAGCGGTGAAGATGGACGTGAATCAGCCGAAACAGGAGCATCTGCTGGCGCTGAAAGGTAAGGAGCGGCTGCCGGCTTGTCCTAGGCCAGGCCTGGGAGTTGTGCCATCTCGGTCTGGATGGAGAGCGGCGGGATCTTTCCGGATATCACCACGGGGCTCAGCTTCCCGAGCGCTGCACCTTTCCTACACTAGAGAGTGACTCAGCCCTGACAGTCCAGGAGCAGGGAGAAGCCTTCACTTGGCTGTCAGTGCTTGCGATCTGCTTTCACCACACACTCCTGTTTCCCAGCGGAGCTCTGGCTTGCAAAAAGCCGGCTTTTGCATGTTGCCGACATTGACTGCTGAACGTTTTCTCCAATTCCGGGACTGACGACATTGCTATCAATGAGAACAAGAGAGCACAAACCATAGATCTGGTTTCTCACAATGAAAGTATGGTGATCCTAATTAGCGTGTTCCAAGTTCTAATTGAACACAGGCATGAGGATCACCTTTGCACTGACAGTACAAAGGCCAGTTATTTCGTTCCTAAAATCAGACAAAGAACTGCAGACGCTGGAAATCGGAAACAACAAAAAAAGTTGCTGGAGAAACTCAGCAACTGTGGAGAGAAAGCAGAGTTAACATTTCGGATTCAGAGAACTAGAACCCAAAATGCTGATTCTGCTTTCTCTTCACAGATGCTGCCAGATTTTCTCCAGCAACTTTTGCTTTCGTTTCAGTTGTTTTGCTACTTCAGTGGGATTCCGAATAGGTTAATGCTTCGCTCTCAAAGCTGTTCAGTTAAACTTTTGCTAATTTATGACACAAAATGTCAATATCTTTGTGTGCCATCAGCAACCGTTTAGTTTGCTGAACTTAACTAGGAACTTAAGAACAACATAATGAAATTGCAAATATTGCCACTGCCCAGAATATATTTTTTTACTGTGTTGTGTGTGAATGTTGCCAGCGTAAAACTTGTTTGTGATGTTACTTCCAAGTCTGCCTAAATTCAATGTGACGTTTGGGGAAGGTACTGTGGAATGCGTTTTTTGAACGGGTGTATACATTTCAGATCGCCATGTATTTAGAGTTGGAGACCACATGCTATTAATACAAAAGTTTTCTGTGTTTGGCCTTTCTTTTATAGAAACATTTCAGTTGGTGTAGATACTGCTTTTGAAGTTATATTTCCCCTCTTCATTGCAAAGTTGACAGTTTTGCAGTTTAAGATGGGTCCACAGAAGTGTGCTGCAGTGTAGGCATTTTTGGTCATTTATCAATGTTTCAAAGTTAGGGGAGGGTGTGTTCCCTGTGAAGAAAACTTTCGAAACCCGCGCTGGCCTGGGCTTCAAGTCCTTGCAGGGGATGACATTACCAACACAGAGAAAACAACTCTTCTTCCGAGTTTAACTTAAATGTATGAATTATATTTTTGTGTATTTTATTATAGGGATTTCTTTTGCAAGTAAATTTCTTACTTTTAATCTTTGTAACATGTGCCATGGAAAGCTTAAGAAAATGCACTACTTACAAGCACTACTAATACAGGGTTTTAAAAGGAAAAATAATAGTGGTTACTTTTAGTGAGATCATTGTAGTAACAGCTTAGAAATTAAATTGAGAAATCATATATCATCATCCATTCAAGTCATTTTGTTTAAATTATCCAATCCCTGCTGCTACAACTTGCGTACTAGTTACAACATAATGAGGTTTCTGACAAGTGAAGAACTAAAACCCTGCATGAGTCATAAATATGTAGGGAGGGGAAGAAAATATTTTCTCTTCAGATTGAAGTATCCAGATTTTTTAGATGTTCAGTTATGTTAATGTTGCCATATAAATGTAACATGTTGTTAACTAATACATACAAGTGTACCCCCATCCCTTATGCTTAGAACTTCTGCAGGAAATCTTTGTATTTCCTTATAAAATGCCTTTTAGAAATCCAAATACACTAGATCTTTGGTTCCTCTTTTGTTTGTTACATTCTTAAGAACCCTAAATCAATCAGATCTATTTCTCCTTTATAAAACCATGTTCAAAATGGGTGACTACCTGTTGTAGATTCACCTATAAGTGGATATATTCTCTCGTTAACCATATCAAGACCCATCAGGATCTTGCATATCTCAATGAGGTTGGCTCTTACTCTTCTAAACTCCAGATAAAGCCTAATCTGTCCGAACTTTCCTCATAGGACAATGCCAGTTCCAAGTAATCGTCTGGTAAGCTTTCTCTGAACTTCTTCCAATGCATTTACATTGTTTCTCAACAAATGTTACCAGTACATTGTACCCTAGATGTGGCCTCACCAGTGTCCTGTATAGTTGAAGCATAACCTCCCCACTTTTGTATTCAATTCCCCTTGCAGTGAAAAATGCATTCTATTCATTTCCTTAATGCCTTGCTTTTTTTTTAATGGTCTATACTAGCTCCTTAATAATGGATTCCAGCATTTTTGCAGTAGTAGATGTTAGGTTTAGAGGTCAAAATATTCCATGTCATCTCCCTTCTCCTTCAATAAGAATATTAAATTTGTGGTTTTCCAAACCATTTGAACCTTTTTGTTTGTGTTTAGTCAGAGTGCGAGACATGTTTCGTCTCGATAATCTGTCTACTTTCTTGGGAAAACTTTAAAAATTATGAGTGATCCATCATAGTGAAAATAACATCATATTAAGTAGCTTTGAAATCGATATCTGTGATTAAACAATGCCGTTTTTGCAAATATGCTAAACATTGTATAAACAGACTTTACCATTTGCAGTACTGTTTAATCAGAGGAGCATCAGCTTGGTTGATTCCATAATGCCAGGTATCTTCCTGATGCAGTACTTGCTCTGGATTGTACACAACTGCTCTAGAAACATTTGGCAGAATCCAGGAGAGAGGTTTTTTTCTTAGTGTGTTCTTCAAATGTGAGCTTTGCTGATAGGGCTAGCATTTGTTGCCCATTCCTAATTTCACTTGCCCTGTTGGCTTGCTAAGCCATTTCAGAGTACAGTTAAGAGTTGACAGTGTTATTGTGAGTCAAACCATACAGTAGCCTACCTGGCAAATTTTTTGTTTGGAAACGCGTAGGCTTGCATGTTGATAATGCGTGCTTTTAACTGTCTCTGTAGAAACATACAAACAAGAGTAGTCCATTCTGCCTTTTTAGTTTGCTGCTTCCTCATTCTGATAATATAATGTATGATGTGTCTTAAATCCATTGACCTTCCATATTCTTTACATGTTTGTCTAATGAAAATTACAAATGTTGATCATTTTTTAAACATGGCCATAACATTTTAGGGATCAGTGTACATCACCTGAAACTGCTCCCTGCTTTTCACCAGCTTGATTTGGATCTATCCTTTTTTTTTGGTTCAGAATGGATGACCGCATACTTGGGTATTCAAATCCATCTCCTGCAAATTTGTGCGCTCGTTTTTGTTGATGTCTGTTCAACTTCCTGTTTCCATCTATACCATGTACTGTGCAATCAACCTTTTTTTGACAGTTTTGTTTGCGTAGGTACAGATCTTAATATTGTGTTAAATCATTTATAGCGAATAGTTCAGGCCAAGCCATAGATCCTTATAAGATACCACCAGTCGTTTCCTTCCAATTTAAGTGCATATTCTTTACCTCCATTCCGTCTTTAGCTGCTTCACCAATCTCTGTACCAGACAAATAATCTAACTTCAACTCCATGAGCTTTGATTTCAGCTAATATTTTTCATTATGTTGAATCTTATGAAATGCCTTTGTAATTTCACATAAACAGCTTGCTTAAATATTTGCCAGTCTACATTAATGAACTATGAAAATGCTATTTTTAGTTAGATGTGGCACCTGTTAGAAATCTGTAATGGCTCTCTGTCATCACCTCAGTACATGTTCCATCATAGTAGCTCTGCCCGTCATGTGAAGACCAGGGTTCAATTCTCTGGGGAGCAGCTGATCTCTTGTGATGGGCTGTGTGTAAATACAGTTTCTTTTAAAAAAATCTGTAATCGCCTCAGATTTCTGTTTTTAAATGCTTGGTCAGTCTGTCCTGAATTCTAAATTCAAATAATGTCTCCCATACAAATGTTAGACTAACCAATCTACGATTTGCTGGTTTCTCTCCTTCTTACCTCTGTAAATAATGGAACAACAGACAATTGTCAATATTTTATACTGTTATTTTCCATACTGTTTCATGTTAAATTTAGTGAATTATCTACCTTAATTTGCGAAGTTTTAGAATATCCAATATGGAATACTGCATTCAGTTCTGGTCTCACTGCTATAAGGAAGATGTTGTGAAATTTGAAAGGGTTCAAAAAAGATTTATGAGGATATTTCCAATGTTGGAGGATTTGAGCTATGGGGAGAGGCTGAATAGGCTGGGGTCATTTTCCCTGGAGCATTGGAGGCTGAGGGTGACCTTATAGAAGTTTATAAAATCATGAGGGGCACGAATAGGGTGAATAATTAAGGTCTTTTACCCAGGGTAGAAGAGTCCAAAACTAGAGGGCATAGTTTAAGGTGAGAGGGGTAAGAGTTAAACGGGACCTGAAGGCAACTTTTTCGCGCAGAGTGTGTTACGTGTATGGAATAAGCTGTTGGAGGAGGTGGTGGAGGCTGAGACAATTACAACATTTAACAGGTATCTGGATGGGTATATGAATAGGAAGGGTTTAGAGGGATATGGGCCAAATGCTGGCAAATGGGACTAGGTTAATTTAGGATATTTTGGTTGGCATGGACGAGTTGGATCGAAGGGTCTGTTTCCATCCCTATAACTGTAAATACCCCCTTCTACTCTGCAGTGTAACAGTCATTCAAGTCCTTCCTTAGTTCAATTGCGGTATTACCTTTAACTATTTTAAAAGAGCTCATAAGGATACTGTGATATAACTGTTTCTGCTGACCTTCATATAATTTTTCTTATCATCTCACCCAATTCCTAGATTTACACTGTTCTTTGCACTTCTGTATGCTCTTTATCACACCTCTTTTGATCTTCCCTTGCTTAATTTGGTAATTAGAGTTCTTTCTTTCTCCTTTGGGAATCTATTATGTATGAAGTTAAGTTTCTTTTTGAACACCTCCAATTGTTTGAGTAATTTTATCGAATAGAAGTTTTGATAACTTGCTATTATCTGTCTCCTATAATTAAGTTCAGCTGTACACAAATCTAGTATCCTAGATTGGATTTCTCTAATTTTTAAATTTGACATTGACTTTGGTCATATTATAATTGCTGTTAGTTTATAATTAAATGGAAATCATTTTACTCAAATTTAGTTCATTATTCATTGCTAGATCTAGTATGACATCCATTTTTGTTGATTCCAGAACTCATTGCTGCAAAATATCTATCTTGAAAATATACAAGAAGTTCAGATTTTTTGATTGAACCTCTCTTCCCAGTCTGTATAAACATTGAAGTCTTGCATGTAAATTATTTTACATTAGATACATTATCTGCTAAAACAGATTTTATATTTATATTATTTTTATAATACATTTTCTCCTTTTCTTTGCTACTATCAAAAACTCTGTAATCAGCTGCACTGCAGGTTCTTCCTGACTTCTGCTTAATCCCAACAAAAATCTCTGCTGATTGTTTTCCTTTACTAATACTGTAGCAGCACTTTTAATCAATAAGGCTGCCACTCTTCCCCATTTTGCCCTAGTTTTCCAATCCTTTTGGAAGACACTATAATCTGGAATATATGGCTTCTAATCATGATCACAGTACAGGCATGTATCTGTGATCACTCTTTCTGTTATTTTGTTTAAATGTAGAAGAGCTTTGCATATAATCAGTTGCTGGAGAGTTTAGTGTATTAGGCTCATAATGGACATGTTTCCTTTGGGATTGAGTTTTGCCATGACTGTGGTTTGTTCAAAGAAAACAAAGGTAGCAACATAGCACTGACTGCATCTAAAAACACACTTTTAAATTGTTTTATAAAAGAGCAGTTCTGGCAAGTTAACATTCAAATAAGAAAATAATAAAGCTAGGTTGTGTTCCTGACCAGTAATTTTTATGTGAGAAACCTATTGGCTGACTTCAACCTAAGTGGCCTGAAAGTTCACCAACTAGTCTTAACTTATGCTTTTGACTTCTTCATTCTTCAATCAAAGTGAGGTGGTGTGTGTGAGGATCTGAGGGGGGCATGGTGAGTAGAAGGTTCAATGGAAAGAACCAATGGTTTGTTTTTAAAGGACCAAGCATGTTTAGTAACCACAATAAAACAGAAATCGAGTCAACACTTAAGAGAATGTACCTTATTTACAATCTGTGCTAAAACAAAAAGACAATATTAGAACTTGCTTTAAATAGTGAACCTCTACTGTACTTGAGCCTCTGGAGTGGGACATCAGACTCTACACTTTAGGCTTGGGCAAAAATCTATCACGAGCCAATACTGACAGCAGGTGCTTTCTTCTCTTTTCATTTCCTAAAATTTGAGTATGACATTTGAGACTTTTGCACATATGTTGAACTGAATGCAAAGTTGCAGAGAATGGAATTAGATTCCTCCTCAGTTAGGATGCTGTTTGTGAGAGGACCCGAAATTATGGACAAATGTCAGTGCTTTTGAAGTAAATTCCATAATAAATTCTTAGAAGCTACATTACTGTTTCTAGTTTAAGTGTTGCATATAAGCGAAATATTCAAAGATATTTATCTCTGCAGGGTAGCACTTCCTGAAGGTGATAGACTGCTGCATCTCAATATTGTGCTTCTGCTAAATTTGGTGAAGGAAGCACGGTCAGTGACAAATCACTTCATTCTGAATGACTTATAGATTTGCATTTATGAAAGTATAAGGAGAAGGGCTTGCTGATATTCATTGCCCTGTGGTGATTCAAGCTGAGACCATCACTTTGTGCCGAGAGCTGTCATTCAGATGGAGTTAGTGGTACATTATAGGCCTAATCAAGACTTTTCTTCTGAAGTACTGAAGATAACAGAAAAATTGTTGGAAGACTTTCCACGAAAAAGTTCACCAAGATTCATACCATGGTTTTCAGATGATATAAAAAGTTTACCAATAAAACCTAAGAAACGTCCACCATCTATTTCAAATGAAGAAGCACAAAGAATTGAAAAGTATTTGGTTGAGGTGGAATTCAAAGCAGAAACACAAAATTATGATTGCACAGAGGATCTTCTGGAATTTTCTGCAAACCTGCAGATGGATCATCTTGCTGAGGTAGCTGCTGCAGAATTTGTACCTGGAATGACAGATTTACTGTGTGGAGTTACAAATGAGGAATACAAATCAGAAAGGTCATGGAGTATTACAGGATACAGCAGAACGAAAGGGCTAAATATTTTGACAGTTAGCCAAAGACTTCAAATAATTAAGGAAAAGCTCCAACTACATTCTTTTCAAAGGGCAAAGTGGGTTATTGATCAATCCAATTTTAGTGCTGAACAACTGGAAGAGATCTGGGCTAAACTGAGTAGTGTTATCAAACACGGTGACCTTCCTGGTTGTAATGCCAAAATACATCGACATCTTGGTGAAATATGGGTTTTCTGTGATCTCATGTGCTGTGAATATGTTGGTTATTTTATTAAGCAAATATTAAATCTTACAGGTAAAATCAGTTTACTTGTACATCGGCATGGTTTAATTTATAACTTGTAGCTATCTGTAATGTTATTTCAGAACTAAAATGTCATTAATATGTATGAATTTCTTACCAGTGTCCGTGGACTTTAAACAATACAAATTTGCATGTCATTTTGATAAATGAGCAGATTGTCTTTAATGATCGCTCGTGTAAACTCGTTAGTAAACTTGGGTGTCAGCCTTGGACTCTGGTCATACACTTGTCTGAGACAGAATATGGCCAAGTCCCACTTCGGAGACTTAAATACAAAATTTTCTTTGGTTCTGGGTGCCGTCCTGAGGGTCTGTTGCCCTGGAGAGTGGCTGTTTCTCGGAGGAGATAAACCATCTCGGGAAGATGCCATGGCACTTTGAAGGAAACTGTGGAGTTCAACCTTGTAGTTTTTAAATTATTATTAAAATATTATATTATTACCGTGTTATTTCAATCAACCTGACTTGAACTCAAACTCTCTGGCCCAGAAGTTCTCCCAACTAGATACTTTCAAATCAACCTGTTCCGAAATGTTTACACACCTCCAGAGCAGGTGGGACTTGAACCCAGGTCTTCTGGCTCAAAGCTAGGGACACTACTACTATGTTGTGAGAACCTTTTAAGTTCTCTCTTGCACCGTGGACAATATTTATCCTCTAATTAACCTTCTTACGATAGATTATTTGGTCATTACCACACTGTTATCACACTGTTGCTGGGTCAAAAACCTGGATCTCTCTTCCTAACTACACTGTGTGTACCTACACTATATTGTCTGCTGTAGTTCAAAAAGGCAGCTGATCACTTCTTAAGTGATGGACAGTAAATGCTGGCCAACCCACATCCCATAAATAAGTCTATATTTTAAAAAAACTAACTGTCCACAAATTAGTTGCTACATTTTTTGCATACTTACGTGGAATTGGATTGTCCTGAGGTTATGCACGACACTATGTAAATGAATTTTTTTAGTATAAATTCTCTCACCAGAGAATATTTTGTCCTCTTCCCAGTGACTTTAAAATTTCCTTGAATGAGTTTTCTGCATAGAAATACTCATTCATTGATCTCTACTAAAGATGTTTTCTATGGAAGTGTTTTGCAGGGCTTTAGTAAAAGGTCAGTATGGCATTGTGTCATTCTGAACTGAGAATTAAGTTTAATGTCCTGGTCACTTGAGTTAATTGCTTTGGTTAGGATGGGGATCATGGCATCAGCATTCTTGCATGTCGGAGAAAGAAAGCTAAAGCTCCAGTTTCTGGTCTCTATCCAGTGATCTTAGTTGGAAGTATTGTATGTGTATATAGTGGTTGGCTATCATAAGGATACATCTTGATCATGGCATCTTCCAAATTGATTAAACTGTTCAAATGAAAGCTTATGTAGCAAGTGTTTTAAGAATTGGTACTTAGTTAATGGTTTCAAGGGGTGCTGATGCTGTGGTGCTATCTTTCAGCATGAGGAAAGAAAGGCAAATGAAAGTTTAAGATATTCAAAAGATTTTAAATCCTTTTGCAAAAAAAAAGTATGAGTGTTTAAATTAAATATTCACCTTGGCAGCACAGGATATAATAATGTTATGACAATGTCAGTTGACTAAATTGTCACTAGCCAAACCAGCGAATGTTCTATTTTAGATAATAACGTAATTACACGTTCATGTGTATGAAACGGAGGGCGAGGATTTTGATTGCCGATAGCCAAAAATTAACTTTTCTGCTTAAATTGCCATTTATCATTTAAGGACAATTTGATTTTCTATGAAAATTACTTGATTTGGAATTGGAGGTGATATTAGATTATTTTTCACTGCGATGTTTGATTTTTGTGGCAAACCCAAGGCAAAAATCTTCCACCAAATGTGGCAAACCTAACCAGAAAATCTTTGCTAACCCAGATGATACAAACCTTGAGAAGAGCAATGCCTCCCCATAGTAAATAGTATTTTGCCACAGCAAAGTACTTTCATTCTTTACATTTTTAGCCGGGAAGAGGAGGTGAAACAATTTAGAACTGTAATGGCAATGAGTACGTACGAGAATGAAAACTGTCCTGATTTAATTTTGAATGAAATACAGTCTGCATAAAAATGTGTAAGTACACTGGAAATAAATATTTTAAAAGTATATTGCATTTGACTTTTATTTACCTGAATTTAGAAGCAATGAGTAATGTTGAATTGTCAAATTTCATGAACTTCCTTCTAGTTTACTTGTAGCTGGGCACATATTATCATAGAATTTTTAACGTATTCATTCCCGCCTTATACCATACAGCATACCCATTTTTCTGGGTCAGTGGGCTGGTAGTTAACTTGCTAACCTTCAAATCTCTGAGTAGTAGCACGGATCAGACCATGCACTTTAAGCATAAATATGCCTGACTTCTTTTAGCTAGTAATTTATGATCTATTGAAGTTGCATTCTCAGGATCTACACATTTCAAAGCTGAATATCTTCCCAGTTTTAACCTTCGTGGATTTTTGCCATGATTAAGAATTTTTGGATCAAAATATTAATAAAGTTATCTAATAACCATACAGTATACCTTATCCATTTTCTCACATTTGGGAAAAATTTTGTACATACATGCAAGCTTATGAAGCCGATGTGGAGATTATATCATTACATTGTTTTGAATTGGAAACTAAAGTTGCTACCAGTTGTCTAAATGGCATGCTTAAGTCCTCATGTGACTCTCTTGAACATACTTCAATTTGGAGTTGCAGCAATAATTAAAATTAAAGCATCTTTTCTTCCATGCCTGCTACATGCTTCATATGCATGGGGATTGACCACAAATGTTTTTATATAAATTTCTAAGGAATGGAAACAGGAGCAACCCATTTGGTTCCTTGATTGAATACATTACTCTAGGTGCAGCTGTCATAAGACTTTGCTGCTTTTATATTCCATTCTCTTTTCAGTAATGGAAACATTCCTCTTTACTTTCTAATTACTTGCCATGCCTGCATGCTAATGGTTTGTTATTCATATGCAAGAGCATACACACCTTTTTGTTCGAGAGCATTCTGCAGGTTGTCCATTTAAACAAGATTCTGCTTTTCTATTCTTCAAATTGGGCAACCTCACGTTTTCTGACATTATACTCCATCTGCCTTTGGTTACTTTACCTATCTAGATTCCTTTTTAGACTCTTTGCATCTTCCTCACCACTTGCTATCCTATCTATTTTTGTATCATCAGCAAACTTAGCTACAGTACAGTTGATCTCCCTTCCAACTGATGAGCAAAGGTTGTAAATAGGTGAGACCCCAGCACTACTCCTGTGGCAATTCACTCAGCTTGCTAAGCTGAAAACGACCCATTTGTCCCGACTTATGTCCTGTTAGTTAATGAAACCTCTATCTGTGCTAATATATTTCCAATAATGCCATGAACCTTTATCTTGTGTAGTAAACCTCTATGTGACACCTTATCAAATACCTTTTTATGAAAATCCAAAGGCATGACATCTACTGGTTCCCTTTTATCAAACCTGCCTGTTAAATTATCGAAGAACTCTAATAAATCTGTGAAACGCTATTTCCCTTTCACAAAAACTCTGTTGACACTGCCTGATCATAAAAGATTTTTCTAAATGTCTAACTACTCCCTCACTGATTCCTGTATTTTCACAATTTTTAATTCCAGACTCTCTTTTTTTAAAATTGAATTCAGATTAAGTATCACAGAGATGTGGCTGCTGTGGTGGGTTTCGAACCCAGATCCCGCGAATAGGTTTCTGGATTAATAGTCTAGTCATAATACCGCTAGGCCATTGCCTACCCTAATTTTTTGCTTGTTAGCTAACCAATCCACTATCCATGATTATATTATACTCCTTACACCACTGACTCTTGTGTGTAGTAACCCTCAACGTCACACCTTATTAGATGCTTTTGGAAGTCACAAGTACACCACATCTATAAGTTCCCCTTCATCTACATTGCTTATTACTTCCTCAAAGAACTGTAACACAATAGTCACGAATGAAAGATGATCTTATAGAAACTTTGAAGATTCTGAAGGGGCTCGATGCGGTAGGTTTTCCAGAATGCTTGTCTCAGTGTCATTCAGGTAAAGGCTATTTCAATTGTACAACTCCATCTTTCCCCAGTACACAACCACATTCATTCTAAATAAGTGAAATTTCATGGCCTGCTTTTGGAGTAATGGTTGTCTGTGATTGCTACCATTTCTGCTCCAAAACCTTTGGCAGCTTCTAGAAGCCACACATGCTCAGTAAATTCAAGAATCTGCATGGGATGTACTGCTGAAGTTACCAACTCTCAAGTCCAGTCAGCCATCAAGAAATTTACTGAACAAAGCAAAGCTTGCCTTTTTAAAGCTTTAAACTCATTCCTCATGTCTAACATTGTACTAAGTTTATAATTACCAAGGAAACTAGGAACAGGAGCAAGCCATTCAGCCTTTCCAACCTGCTCCACCATTCTAGGATCTTTTCCTATCTTTACTATCTAGAAATCTATCAATCTCTATCTTGGACAGACTCTCTGACTGATCTTCCATAGCCCTCTGGGTAGAGAATTCCAAGCTTCACAATCCTGTGAACAAGCTCCTCCTCATCTCAGTCCTAAATTAAAATTATTTTGAAACTATGCCCTCTGGCTGTAGACTACCCCAAGCTAGGGGAAACATCCTTCCTGCATCTACTCTGTAGTCCTTTAAGAATTTCCAGAGTTTCAATTGTGTCACATCTCATTCTGCTTAACTCTGTATGAAATATAGTCCTAGCCGACTTAATCTCTCCTCATTGCATAATCCCCTTTTCCTAACTATGAGTCTCGATAAAGCTTTGTTGCGCTCCAATGTTTGTGTATGGCAGCCAAATCATGACCTACAAGGTGTTTCAAAATTTTAGTTTATTCAAAAGTGACAAAAATAATGCTGTCCACACTATCTTCAAATGAATTGTATTGTGAAGCTTTGTCTCACCTGTTCTATAAGATAATTGTTCTGAAGAGTTTAATTTTCATGTTACTTTTTTTTATTCATTAACGGGATGAAGGCATTGCTGGCTAGGCATCATTTATTGTCCATCCCTAATTGCCGAGAGGGCAGATAAGAGTCAACCACTGTGGGTCTGGAGTCACATGTAGGCCAGACCAGGTAAGGATGGCAGTTTCCTTCCCGAAAGGACATTAGTGAACCAGATGGGTTTTTCCTGACAACTGATAATGGATTCATGGTCATCATTAGATTCTTAATTTCAGATATTTATTCAATTCAAATTCCACCATCTGCCGTGATAGGATTTGAACCCTGGTCCCCAGAACATTATCTGGGTCTCTGCATTAATAGTCCAGCAATAATACCACTAGGCCTTCACCTTCCCACAGGGTCCACCTCGTCTACTGATGTCAGACAGTCTGTGACCGGAGGCAAAGAGGTCTGTTCATGTATTTGGAGCAATCATGTACCAGCTCCTGAAGATTCTAGTAACCATGCCTAACTGAATGATGTACACAAACTATCCTGTAATAAATTTTGTTTTGTTAAAGAACAATGTCTCTTTTGTGGATACTCTATGATGCTGTAGCCTCTGTCACTAATCACTAGATAGGCTCCAGAGAAGGGAGGATCATGGTGGCAACACACTACCTCAAATAACCCTTACTTCTTCCAGTTTCTGATACTCGATGGCAAATATCATCAGGAACAGTCACTTAGGAAGGTACCACATCTTCAGCTTTACTGTGCCTCCATGAGCTCAGCTGACACCTCTGACCAGAATCCTCATTTCATGTATCCAGAAAATTTACAACAATCCCCAGCATTAATACAATTCTGAATCAGATATTACATGCTGTATTGCCATTCCCCAGTACTTCCTCGAGCATTTTTCTGTACTTGGTGTTCACAAATAAATCCAAGTGTTACTGCAAAACAGCCTGTTCCTAAGCCATCCAAGGTCGTTGTAGTTACCTTCCAGCCAAAAAGGCTGTTTGTACTTTAAGCCCGATCTTCACGTATTTTCTTCCAATTGCTTTTTTTCCATGTCCAATTAACGCTTGATGATTTGGTTTTGAGATATAACTTCTGCACGAACAGTACAGGTGTGTAATAACATCTCTGAACAGGTAGGTTAGTGATTATTTAAAAAGAACCAACCATGTTTTGTGGGACTGGACACATACATCAGTTTGTGAAGACACATTTCCTACTCTGAAGGACAGTAGTAATCTAGTTGGATTTTGCTGTCAGCTTTCAACATTTTCCCTTTTCTAAAGAAATTTCATGTTCAGATTGCTGGTTGCATTTGAACTTGCGTTGTCTTCTGGGCTATGAGTTCAGGAGCAAAACTGCTACAGTGTACCCATGTGGCGTGTATAAGCAGCTCAAATCAACAAAATCACAGAACTTAATTTCCAAAACATTAGTTAAAAATCCTGGGATCTTGTGTGACTTAAAACAAAATCTTATTTTTATCATTGGAAACCACTGTGTTGCTTTATTTTCAGGGATGATTTCTGGCTTAATAGAAATGAGAAAAGAATTCAGAGTCCTCTCTACTTTATCATTGTTCGTATGATTATCAGAATCCAGGAGCGGTAAACAATGATCACTGGGAAGAAAATCATTTCACTTTCTACCACATATTCTCTGTGCTACAAAAGCAAATGCTAGCAAGATGACTAACTGCTACATCTTACGCATAGTGACCTGTCTTTGGTGTTATGAGAAAATATCACAAATAACTACTGTCGATTCTCAATGGTAGCAATTTGTAGTTAACTTTTGCATCGACACCACAATTGTTAAACACTGCTGTGAATTTGTCGTTTCTGATAAATATGTTTGAACTTTCTGAAATTCAATTTTATAAACAAACATTAATTATTTCTAAAAGTTTTGTAACACTAGCTTTTCGTTGGATAAAGCTTTGAGATATGGCGGAAAGCTGGTAGTTGGAGTTGAACTACTGACTATCCAAAATTTGATTCAATGGCAGAATAGATTTAAGGGTCTAACTGGTCTGAGCTTGTTCTAATATTCAATAATACTCTACCTTTAATACTTTAACAGCAGCTAATGCCTGATTAAATGGTCTAATGGTATAAAATTTGTGTCAAGTGCTGTTTGATGTTGACAGACTTTTTAACCTGGTCGGTTTGACTTTCTACTATATTTCTTTCTTTATTTCATGTTATAGTGATGAGGTTAACCAAGCCAACATTGTTTACGAACCTGCCAGTGACCTGTGAAGAAAGAGATCTGCCTGGTGAGTCTGGATAGTCTTTCAGCATTAGAAAACTATCACTATCACTTTAGATAGTCAAGAGTATCAACATATAACACTTCATGTGACGCAGCCTAATTTTAATCTGAATGTTAACTATTTGTTTTTCAAAGGCAATCTTTTGATAATCTGAGAATTTTTAAACATTCATTTCTATTTTATATGCAAGTTTTCTGTATACTTAGTTTTCTGTTTCCTCCCTGTACTGGAATCTCAGTCAGTGACAGTTTAATCCAAATATGTCAGACATGGATCACTTCATGTGAAGTCTATTATATTAGTTTTGCAAAACTCTCATTTTGGTATATAAAAATCACCTTGCATAGGCACATTACTGAGAAAGCATCCTGCAAAAATAGAATGATGTCCATAATGCCATTTTGTGGTGCATTTTGGAGCCATCCAGTGTGATGCCAAAACAGCTTGTGTAAAACACCCAGGGCAAACATTTGCCTGTCTTTTAGGCAGCCTGTCTTTTAGGCTGCTAGTTTTATGTGCAGACCTTCTAGAGATACTGGACTGAACCCATACCAACCAGTCATAGGTTTTCCGCTGAATGTCAATTCAAAACCAAAACTGCAGCCTCTGTGTGCTAGGACTGCTTGGAATGAAATCTGAACAAAGGCAAGAATGCTTCCATTAAGCCAAAAGTTCATTTTGCCTAACTATTTTTGCGTCAGGAATGCGACAGCCACAATATTACTCAATACATTTCTAAGAATTCCAAAATCCATTCATGACCATATGTGCTGCACTTGAACTGTGTTAAACTTGTTTGTTACACCATCTGTGACTTGCACCATCAGTGACTATGGAATGAAATGCATGTGTTAATTTTAACCTCTCCGCGGTTTGACATTCTATCTCAGCACACCTTGATGATTACCTCATCCGTCTAATATATGTATGATTCAGATTGACCTGAAATCTCAAGCCCGCTTTTCATTAATTGTCTCTAAAATAACCCAGATCTAAAAGCCCCCTTTGTAGCTTGGAAATAGACACTCCAAGTCCTAATTACTGGTCAACTGTACCATTCTTTTACTTCCTCTGATCAGTTTACTACTCAATCTATGTAATGACCGCACAACTATCTAACCTATTACTTGTTGTTCAACGTTTGTCTGTTTTTACAACTATGTCCTTTCCAAAGCCTACTTTTCTGCACAGTCCCCTCAACCTTCAATAATTGTGTGGAAAAGCACATTTCCTACCTAAGATCTCCTCTACCATGTCTCCAAGGAGAACAGTCCCACTTGTCTGGTATACCTTCATAGCTGAAATTTCTCATCCCTGAAATTATTCTTGTAAATCTTTCTGCATTTCTCCAATGCATTCGCATTCATCCTACAGTGTGGTATCCAAAATTATACACAAAGCACTGAGGTCAAGTAAGTGTCTTGTATATGTTTAGCATAAAATGCTTTCTCTGGAACTCTTGCCACTACTAATGAATCCCAGGATGCTTTCTAATTTTATAATGAGTCCTTGTGAATCACATAAGTAGGGCTGTGGATAGGGCTTTAAACTAAATGGTTGGGTGGGGTGGGGAGGGGGGTGGGTATTGAGTTCAGTTGTATGGAAAAGGTTAAGTCAGGGGAGGACTTGGGGGAGGTTCATTTCTGAAACAAGTTATACAAAGACAGTATGGAATGGACCAGGAATTTAACTTCAGGCAGATCAGATAAAGGCACAACTATGTGAAGGGGAGCAGTCAACGCACGACTGAGTGTGTTGTACATAAATGCATGCAGTATATGTAACAAGGTGAATGAGCTTGTAGTGCAGATTGGAAGTGGCAGGTATGATGTGTGTTATGGGTATCACAGAGTCGTGGCTGCAAGGGAATTAGGGCTGGGAACAAAATGTCCAAGGATACATATCCTATCAAATGGACGGGCAGATGAGCAGAGGACAGGGTTGTCTTCTTTGTAAGAAATTAAATTAAATCAATAGTAAGAGTTGGAAGGCATAGAATCTGCGTGGGTAGAGTTGAGGAGCTCCAAAGGATAGAAGACCCTGATGGGAGTTGTGTACAGGCCTCCTAGCAATAATCAGGATTTGGAGAAGAAAATAAATCAGGAGACAGATAGGCGTGAATGAAAGGCATTATTACAATAATCGTGGGGGACTTCAATATGCTGGTGGACTGAGAAAATCAAGTTGGTAGCAGATCTCAAGAATAGTAATTGGCGGAATGTCTTCAAAATGGTTTTTTGGAACAATTTGTGGTAGCGCCCACTAGAGAACAGGCATTTCCGGATTTAGTGATGTGTTCTGAGGAAGACTTGACTAGGAAGCTTAAGGTGAAGGAACCCCGAGCAGGCAGTGACCATAACATGTTAGAATTCACCCTGCAGCTTGAGAGGAAGAACCATATTTGAGTAAAGGTAACTGCAAAGACATGAGGGAGGAACTGGCTAGAGTTGATTGGACGGTGACCCTAGCAGGGAAGACAATTGAGGAACAATGGCAGAAGTTTCTGGAAGTAATTCAGGAGTCACAGCAAAATTCATCCCAAGGAAGAAGAAACACACTAAGGGGAGGATGAGGCTGATGGGAACTCAGGAACAGCATAAAAGCAAATGAAAAATCATACAATACGGTAAAAATTAGTGGGAAGCCAGAGGATTGGGAAGCCTTTAAAAACCAGCAGACAATAACGAGAAAAGCAATAAGTGGGGAGAAGATGAAATACACGAGTAACTAGTTTGTAACATAAAAGAAGATTGCAAGAGTTTTTTTAGACATCTACAAGGCAAGAGAGGACCGTGGACCGCTGGAAAATCAGGTTGGCAGGCTGATACAAAATTGGCTACTTCCAGTTTACTTTCTTTAACTATCTACAAGGCAACAGGGAGGCAAAAGTGGACAGTGGACCACTGGAAAATGGCTGAGATAGATCCTTGATTAGTAAGGGGATCAATGGTTATGGGGACAAGGCAGGAGAATGAGGTTGAGAAACATTTCAGTCATGATCAAATGATGGAGCAGACATGAAAGGCTAAATGGCCTAATTCTGCTCCTATATCTTATGCTCTTGTGGACTTATGACAAATTACATGTTATTTCCTTAGGAGATCTTTTCAGTCAACTTATGAAGGATGATCCCTCTACAGTTAAAGGAGCAGAGAACTTTATGTTGGGGGAAATGCTGACTCTTCCTCAGAACTTTGGGTAAGAATTTTCAATCATTCAGGCATACATTTGTCTTTCTTTTTTGCTCTCCTCACTCCTCTTTTCTACCCCACCAAGTACCAAAGACATCAGTAAAGAACTCAAAACAAGGAATTAGGAGGACTAAAAGGGGTCATTAAATGTCTTTGGCCAACAGGATTGAGAAAAATCCCAAGGCTTTTTACAAACATAAAGGGTGCAAGAGGATAGCCAGGGAAAGGGTAGGTCCACTCCAGGACAAAGGAGGGAATTTACACGTGGAACTCAAAGAATTGGGTGAGATCTATTACGAATATTTTGCATCAATATTTACAGAGGAGAAGGAGATGGTGAATCTTGGGAGGGCAATGTTGATATTCTGGAGCATGTCAATATAAAAATGGAAATGGTGTTGGGCCTTTTGAAAAGGGTTGAGGTAGACAAGTCCTCAGGGCATGATAAGGGAGACAGTGAGGAAATTGCTGGGGCCTTGTATGAAATCTTTGTATCCTCTTTAGTCACGGGGAGGTCCCAGATGACTGCAGAATAGTCAACATTATTCCTTTGTTTCGGAAGGGCAACGGGGTAATCTGGGAAATTACAGGCTGTCAAGCCTTGCGTCTGCAGTAGGGAAACAATTGGAGAAGCTTCTTAGAGATAGGATTTTTCTTTTCATTCACTCATGGGATGAGGGAATCACTGGCTGGCCAGCATTTATTGCCTGTTCCTAGTTGCCCCGAGAAAGCGGTGAGCTACCTTCTTGAACTGCTGCCGTCCACATGCTGTACGTTGACCTACAGTGTCCTTGGGGAGAGAATTCCAGGAGTTTGACCCAATGACAGTGAAGGAACAGCGATTATATTTCCAAATCAGGATGGTGAGCAGCTTGGCAGGGAAGTTGTAGGTGGTGGTGTTCCTGTGCATCTGCTGCCCTTGTCCTTCTAAATGCAAGTGGTCGTGGGTTTGGAAGGTGCTGTCTAAGGATCTTTGAATTTCTGCAGTGCATCTTGTAGGTGGTACACACTGCTGCTACTGAGCGTCAGTGGAGGAGGGAGTAAATGCTTCTGGATGTAGTGCCAATCAAGCGGGCTGCTTTGTCCTGGATCGTGTGAAGCTTTTTCAGTGCTGTTGGAGCTGCGCTCATCCAGGCAAGTGGGGAGTATTCCATCACACTCCTGACTTGTGCCTTGTCTTGGCGTTGGGGAAGCAGGAACTGGGTTACTTGCTGCAGTATTCCTAGCCTCTGACCTGCTGTTGTAGCCATTCTGTTTATATGGCGAGTCCAGTTGGTCACCCCAAGGATGTTGATAGTTGGGGATTTAGTGGTGGTAACACCCTGAATGTCAAGGGGTGGTTGTTAGATTGTTTCTTATTGGAGATGGTCATTGCCTGGCATTTGTGTGGTGCGAATGTTACTTGCCAGTTGTCAGGCTGAGCCTGGATATTGTCTAGACCTTGTTGCATTTGAACATGGACTGCTTCAGTATCTGAGGAGTTGCGAATGGTTCTAAAGTTTGTGCAATTAATTTACTCACTTTGGAAAAATATGGACTTATTACTAAAAGGCAGCATAGCATTTTGTGGGCAGGTCATGTCTCATGAATATAATTGAGTTTTTTGAGGAAGTGATTGACAAGGTTCCTCATGGCAGGCTTATACGAAAGATAAATTGACATGGCATCCAAGGAGAGCAGTAAGTTGGATATAGAACAGGCTTAGTCATAAAAGATAGAGAGTAGCAATGGAAGAATATTTTTCAGACTGAAGATCTATGACCAGAGGTCTTCCGCAGGGATCAGTGCTGGGATGCTTATTATTTGTAATATATATAAATCATTTGGAGGAGCATGTAGGTGGCATAATTAGTAAGTTTGTGGATGACACAAAGATTGGGGGAGCTGCAGTTAGTGTGGAAGGTTGCCAGAGGTTACAGCAGGGTATGGACAGGCTGGAAACATTTGCAGAGAAATGGCAGATGGAGTTTAATCTGGACGAATGTGAGGTAGCATCAACTTATAGATGAATCTATGTGTACAGGTTCGCAGTTCCTTGAAAGTGTCAACACAAGTGGGTGAGATGGTCAAGAAGGCATATGACATGCTTGCCTTCGGTCGGGCATAGAATATAAAAATCGGCAAATTGCGTTGCAGTTGTATTGAACGTTAGGCTACTTTTAAAATATTGTATACATTTCTGGTTGCCACACTACCAGAAGGATGTGGAGGCTTTGGAGAGAGTGCAGAAATGGTTTACCAGGATGTTGCCTGGTTTCAAGGATATTAGCTATGAGGGGAGATTGGACAAACTTGGTTTGTTTTCACTTGATTGTTGTAAAATGAGAAGTGACTTGATATATGTGAGCTGGCAGAGAATAGAGGGTTACGGGCAATGTTTAAGGCAAAAGGTTTTTCGTTTAGAAGGGCATCATACGTTGGCGCAGTCTTGGTGGGCCGAATGGTCTGTTCCTGTGCAATACTGTTCTTTGTTCTTCAAACAAAAAATGGCCAAGAATTGGGGGGAGCAATATTGGGAAATTATCTTTATGGGAATGGTGGAAACAGAATTATGAACGACTATGCAGGTTCAGAAAGATCACTAGTCCTTCAATCCTTAAAACATATGAAGTTTATTTTCTCTTTGATACCCCATCAAGAAGTCTATTCAATTGTTAGGCTCATATAGAGTCATAGAGTCATACAGCATGGAAACTGACCCTTCAGTCCAACCAGTACATGCTGAGCAAGTTCCCCAGTCTAAACCAGTCCCACTTGCCTGCATTTGGCCATATCCCTCCAAACCTTTCCTATTCATATACCTATCCAAATGTCTCTTAAATGTTGTAACTACATCTGCAATTACCACTTCCTCTGGTAGTTTATTCCATATACAAACTACCCTCTGTGTGAAAAAGTTGCCCTCAGGTCCCTTTTTATCTTTCTGCTCTCACGTTAAACTTATGTCCCCTACCCTGAGGTGTGAAGAACTATCAGCCCTAAATGTGACTTTAGTCAATTTGAACAGGTGTACCTTTTTTTCTTAATTTCGTTTTCTAGTCTTCCTCCCTTGCTACCCCTAGCCACCATACTTCCTTTCAAGATTGGGAAGCCTGTTTCATTTTGTTCTAGAGTGTGTTGTCTCATACAAATATTCAGTCTTGTAGCTTGGTTTTGATGACGTGCAGCTAATATCTCTCCTGTTGCTTGGTTACAAGAATACCATGCATTCTAAATTATGGTTGTCACTATGATTTTGGAGTGCATTTGGAAAAAAAATGGTTGGAAGGGCTGGATGTGATGTTCTAGGGGAGAAATGGGTATTTTTAAGAAACAGGAGTAGTGCCAAAGCATTGGAGAATTGGAAAGATTTCACTGTTGGAGGGAAAAGTGGATAATCTTAGTAAATATACACGACTGACTTAACTTTAGTTATGGGCAAATTATTGAATTCAGTTTTGAGGGACAGTAAAACCATCATTTATAAAGGTATAGATTAATTGAAGAAACTCAGTGTGAATTTGTTCAAGGAAGGTCATGCCTGAATAACTTCTTTTGTGAGAAAGTGACTTGTATGGTTGATGAAGCCAGTGTGGTGGATGCGTTTTATGTAGATTTTAACAAAGGCTTTTCACAATGTCCTATGTGGCAGGCCGGTCAAAAAGTATAAGACTTGGGATTAATTGATTTTAATTGTTTTTATTGGCAAATGTGCTGAAATACAGTGAAAAGCTTTGTTGCAAGTGGTACAGGCAGATAACAGCAAGCAAAGGATGTACAGATCAAAAAGACTTCGAGGCATATCGGTTACATTGCAGGTTACATTATTTGAGGCTAGACTCCATTCAACAGTCTGATAATGGCTGGAAAGAAGCTGTTCCTGAACCTGCTTGTGCATTTGTCCAGGCTTCTGTATCTTCTGCCTGCTGGAAGAGTTGTAAGAGGTCATTACCAGAGTGCAAGGGGTCTTTGATGATGTTGACCGCCTTTCTGTGGCAGCGAGCCGTGTAAACAGAGTCCATGAATGGAAGATTAGCTTCCGTAATGTTCTGGGTTGTGCACACCACTTTCTGTAGTTTCTTACGGTCCTGGGGAGAGCAGTTGCCATACCAGGCTGTCAGGCACCCAGACAGTATGCTTTCAATGGTGTATTTTAGAAGTTAGTGAAGGACCTTATGGACATGTCAAATTTCCTGAGCCGCCTGAGGAAGAAGAGGCATTGTTGTGCCTTCTTGACTGTCACATTTACATAGAGTCATAGAGTCCTACAGCACAGAGACAGGCCCTTTGGCCCAAAATAGTCCATCCTGACCAAAATGCCCATCCACGCTAAGCCTGTTTCTCTGCACTTGGCTCATATCCTTCTAAACCTTTCCTATCCATGTATTTGTCCAAATGCCTTTTAAATGTTGTTAATGTAGCTGCCTCAACCACTTCTGCTGGCTGCTGATTCCATATGTGTACCACCCTTTGTGTAAAAAAGTTGCCCCTCAGGTTCCCATGTATTCTTTTCCCTCTTACCTTAAACTGATGCCCTCTAGTCCTCAATTCCCCAACCCTGGGAAAAAGACTGACTGCATTCACCCTATCCATTCCTCTCATGATCTTATACACTACTGTAAGATCCCCCTCAGCCTCCTACACTCTAAAGAAAAAAAAGTCGTAGCTTGTCCAACCTCTCCCTATAACTCAGACCCTTGAGTCCTGGCAACATCCTTGTAAATTTCTTCTGCACTCTTTCCAGTTTAATAACATTTTTCCTGTAGCAAGGTGAGCAAAACTGAGCACAATACTCCAAGTGCAGCCACACCAATGTAATGTTCAACTGCATCATAACTTTCAGTCATTCTATACTCAATACCCTGACTGATCAAGGCCAGTGTGCCAAAAACCGACTCCACTTTCAGAGAGCCGTGCACCTGAACTCCAAGGTCTCTCTCTTCCACTACACTCCTCAAGGCCCTACCATTCACCATGAAACTCCTACCTGGATTTGACTTTTCAAAATGCAACGCCTCACACTTATCTATATTAAACTCCATTTGCCATTTCTCAGCCCACTTCCCCAGCTGATCAAGATCCTGCTGCAGTTTCTGATTACCTTCCTCACTGCCCATGAAACCGCCTATTTTAGTGTCTCCCGAAAACTTACTAATCATGCCGTGTACATTCTCATCCAAATCATTGATATAGATAACAAATAGCAATGGGCCCAGCACCGACCCCTGAGGCACACCACTAGTCACAGGCAAGCATCCTTCCAGTATTACCCTCTATTTGGTACCATCAAGCCAATTGTGTATCCAGTTTGCCAGTTCTCCCTGAATTCCACGTGATCTAACCTTCCAGAGCAGCCTACCATGTGGAACCTTATCAAAGACCTCACTGAAATCCATATAGACTACGTCTACTGCCCTGCCCTTATCAACCTTCCTGGCCACTTCATCAAAGAACTCTAACAAATTTGTGAGGCATGGGAAGTCCACGACAGGTCATCAGTTATTGTTATTCTGAGGAACTTGATGCTTGATCTCACAGAGAATGACAATTTGGATTAAATATTAGCTTAATGACAAGAAGCAAAGGGTTATCATCGACGAGTGTTTTGTAAATATAAAGCTGTTACCAGCATGGTTCTGCTGGCATCAGAATTTAACCCCTATCTTTTTCCAGTTTCTATCAATGATTCAAATGGCAAGATGCAGAAGGTTGTCTGTGTGGTGGGCAGTGTAAGATGGCAGGATGATACAGATAGTTTGTTCAGTTGACCAGAAGTGGAAAATTTAATTTAGTCTTTAGAAGTGAGGAGTTTTGTATTTTTGGAGTTGTAGTAAGGCAAGGAAATATGGCATGTTTTTCCAATAGTTAAGGCACGGAACACGAGTAGGGGCGTTTACGCTAGAACTGATTGGAATGAAGATGAGTAAACACATTTTTCCATTAAAAGGAGTAGTAGAGACCTGGAACACTGCCTGATAGGGTGAGAGAGTCAGAAGCGCTTAGTATATTTAAAAAATACGCTTCAATTGTTACTTAAAGATTTCCAACATGCAGTTTTTCAGACCCAGTGCAAGAAGGTGTTTTTAGCTGAACAGTTCTTTGTCAATTGGCACAAACATTATGGGCTAAATGGCCTACTATGTTGTAAATTTTCTGTGATTCTATGAAGAAGTTGGCCAGGATATTGGACTGGCTTTTTGGTCGAAGAATTGAGATGTTCAACACGCACTCGTACACGCACACGCACTCTCACACGCACGCACTCTCACACGCACGCACTCTCACAC